GCTGGCTCTCGCCCATCACCTTCATGTACACCAAAATATGAAGTCATCTCCAGTCGCAGCCTGACTGGAGAAGACCTTTGGAATTCATGTCACCTCCAAACAGCTGCGAAACTTCTAGTATGGAGTCACCCATGGATAGCTACCTGGAGAGTACTCTCGATCTGGAAGACCTCCATCATCGAGCAGCTCCGACAACGTCGCTACGGTCTAGGACATCATCTTCACCGCAGTCGCCAAGGCGCGGGTTGATGGTATGGACCGGACCTGGAATGGAAAGACCAATATTTTCTTCGTGGACCCCGGACTGAAGGTGAGCGCTGGCGGTTACATTGAGCAACTCGTGAAGAATATCCTCCTCACATGTCGTCGCCCGTACCTTCTTGGAAACTTTGTACTGCTACAGCATTGGGTGCCACCACGTTGGAGAAACTCTCGCCTACTTGGAATGGAAGGGGGCTGAGTACCTAAAGAAGATGGAATATCCAAGTAGGTCACCTGACCTGAATCCCCTCAATTACCCGGTTCGGGCGGAGTTCAATAGGGTGGTCTACGGTGGCGGAGAAATCGACTATCTCGCTGATCTCAGGCACCACATCGCGGTCGCGTGCCAGAATCTCTCGATGGCGCTCGTCCAGAAGGCTGTGGCGGAGTGTCATGATAGTATTTAATATGCTCTTTAATATGGTGGTAAAATGTCCGATCAGAATTAATAAAGTGTAACTTATAGCGCCTCGAAAGTCAATGAAGAAAAGTGACTTTTTTGACCCCCCTGTATATCGCGCTAGCGTGTTGTGAGCATGTCCTAGCACGATTTTTGGCTCCCTCTTCAAAGGTATAGCCACTGGAGATGTCCCTTAAGAATGGGTGACCAATGGCAACTGCAGATGGGTGGCTAAGGGCGGTGCAGCTCTAAAGCATCACTTTACATCTTTACCGAATTCTCGTCCTAAAAGCTGTGGTCCGAAATGACAGAACCGGAATGACGGGCCTAACCTGATGCTTCATGGGGAGTTCTCTGATGAAATCGCGACCAACTGATTGACCGTGGCATGGCGATTACCAAGGCCGCGGTGCTCGCATGTGTCAACGGTTGCAAGGTCTCATCTAAAAGGGACAGGAACGCTGGCTGTATTTTTCCCCGTTTGGAATTCGTTGGCATTTAGATAACGGGGTGATTAGATGCTTTCGTAAGTCGGCTAGTCCGAAGTTTTTACGACCTGCCGCTGATAAACGTGAAGACAGCGAGGGCCCACCTCACCCTTCCAGCCATTTCTGGATTATTCCGCTTCGCATTCATATGCCAACATGACAGGATAGACTTCTTCCAGATAGGACCACATTACGGGCACCATTCGCTTCGACACCACTTTCAATGTGAAGCTGTATAGCGTGTTCGGTTCGGCCCTGAAAATTATAGAATCCCCGCGCACTGTTTATTTATTGGGTGTATCTTTCCTACGTAGAACAATACCGCCGAGGGGAGTGTGACAAGACAATCGTAATGTGCCGCGCTGGTGGGCGTGGCCAGCGACGTCGCGCCCAGTTGGCGAGTTGTTCTTTCTGGCCGTTTGAATGTGTGGCTCAAAAGGATGAGTAGAATAGATATCGCCCGTCGCGGAGTCTTGTCTTTGTTCGAATTTCTTCGAGTTTTGCTGCTCTAATCTACAAATGACGCACGAATATTTTCCGCTCATAGTCGCAGGGCACGCAGCGCGCGGCGACGCGACAAATGACAGTTGTCTTTTTCGTTTCCCGAGTTGAGGAAGGTGGTTGTGTACTTTATTAGGAGGTGACGGTAGCTGGGCTTTGGTGGGGGATTGCTGCTTTGAAAAAATTGTTAAGATTTGTTCCAAAAGGAAATATCTGACCACGAGCGCACCTTCATTACGTACTACGGACTGCGGGGCCACGCCCTCCCCATTTCCAAGATATAATGTTCACTCAAAGGCAGGTGCCAACTTGTTACTTGCTCAGAAGTAGTGGCAGGGGTGCTATATGGTGGAAAAATGACGAAAAAGCAAAATCAAACGGCTAAAAACCCGCGTGAAAACCTTTGCTCTGCACGGCATTGGACGAGCATTTTTGGACGAGTTCCCTCGGCTACACGTATGTATCCATTATCCACGTAGCAACGCTTCAAATTGTACTTCACGAAATGAAACCATGAAACCTCATGAAATGAAACCATGATGAAACTAAATGAAACCATAAGAGTACCATAGAGTTGGTGTGACCGTGCGGCCATTGTGGGCGGGCAGGTGCGATGGGCGTCTCGGTTGTCATGTCGCACCTTGGTGAAATGGTGCCCTTGGTTGTGAAAGCAGCCCTACAGTACCTGCTTGGGGACACAATATTCCTTTGTGCAGGAGTATCGACCCTGTACATTTTGTCGATTTATCGTGCCACTTGCCTTTCAGCTTCATTGTTGTTATAATAGAAGACGTATTCGAGTGATTTTTCGATGGGTCGATAAAAAGAATCGATTCAGATCGCGCTCACGTGATCCGCCAGCGAATGGTGAAGGAGGAGGGCATGCGAGCACATACGGCAATCTTTCCGTTTAGGAATAATAACGGGCGTAAGGCACTTCGTTTAATACGGTGTATCAGATGCATAGGAACAAATACGTTGTATGGTGTCTTATAGATGTCTTTTTTTCCGTTTGCTGGGTATATTATTGCATGTAAAGTCATTTATTCGAAAATGTACTATATATCTATTCTGCCGCCTCATGATATTGTTTCACTTCCTCTGCTCCTTTCCACGCATCGTGGTGGCTTACGTCTACCTCAATGAAGACTACTGCTCTTTTGTGGATATCGTGCTTTGTTTATTTGTTTACTTGTTTGTCCATATAGTGAAGATGTAGAGGCTTCTTTTGTGACTATGTATAAGTTTTATGTGTGTCATTTCGCCTGTATTCAACATATGAATTACGGTGATATTCACTCTGAGAACAGATCATGGCCTTCCCATCGTTACTTTCTGTTTGGTTTATCCCTTGACGGTTATCCTTTTGGATAACCCAGCGCTTTGAATGACGTGTCCCAGTGAGGTCGGAGGATTCGTGTTAAATGTTCGTGAGCTAGTCACATTAATCATATAACTACTTTATTTCTCTACTACATCGTAACTTTCCTGCTAAATCTATTTGTTGTTGTATGATGGATATAAGTATATAGTAGGTTTTTTGTCTCAAAGACGACTTTCAATCATGTCACAGCCACGCCCCTAAGTGGTTGCGCCACGCCCACTGTGGTTGTGCCACGCCCCTTGCGAGCCGTTGGTATGTGAAATGATTGCGAGATGATACATGTGAGGTAGATGACCAACGCCCGTGAGGTCTTTCCGGCTTTAGTCGTGTATATTGTTCTGTGTTCTCTGGGTACGTTCCTCCATTATCTCCGAAACCCCCATATTCATTGTCATGATCATTGTGTTCCTTTAAATGATTTTCTTGTCTTGTCATACATAAAATGTTTTTATTAAAGCGATATAAGATGAGTAAGAAAGACAATGTAATACAATGAAATGAGATAGGTAAAGTGGAAGGAAGTTCGCGAGTTATAGTACAAGGGCCAGGGGTTAGTAATAATCAAAACGAGGTGTCTAATGTACAATTGAGCGAAGTGTGTGAGGCACAACATCCAGCAAAAGTCTTCCTTTCACGTATTCATAATGAGATCCATCAATATTTGATTAATACAGAACAACGATCGATATACATGGTTTGTATGGGGTGAACAACAAATATACATGAGGTCTATCCCTTGCAGGGAAGAAGTCAGTCCTCTGGTTTGCATGGGTATTCTTACAAGTTTTATTCATCTGAAAAATAAGATTTTAAATTTACTGTATGAGAACAGGTAACAAAAGTGAAACGGAGTGAATCTGTTTTTAAGGATAGGGTCCCACATAAGATTTGAGTTTAGGACAAATGGTGGTTACAGTGCCCCGGGAATCGCGTGAACTTAAATGTGTCGCCTTCGTGAATATGTGCACTTGCAGGAAGCGAGAGCGGAGCTAAATCGCTTTCCACCTGGCCAGGAACAGCCTTGGCGAAAACAGTGGTGTTTTGTACACTTGCTGCTCCTACGCACTCAGTTTTACGCGCAGTTTGGGTTACTTATCCCGCCTGTTCTCCCAAAGTTATAATTTAGTGGGACACAAAGCCGGTTATGTGAAGAGCTAACGCATCAGCATTTGGAACGGTGTTTTTGAAGTGCTACCTGAATTCTCCCAATAAGGCCACTTGATATTTTTTTTCCGGTTTTGTTTGCTTGA